GGCAAGAGTCTGGTTAAACCAGGATAAGTGAGTCCATGAAGCTCATTTATTTATTTTATTTGTACATTTTACTCTGACCCCTTCTCTTTCTAAAATAATTTGAGGCTAAGTATAACAAAGGGCTTGTATTTAATAAGACTGAGAAGACACGTAACTAAAATAGAAAATTGAAACCAGAAGACAGAAGCAGCAAATATCTGTTTGAGGACTGATATGAGAAAGCTAAGTTCAGGAATCTCTGCCCAGTTTCTCTGGCTGGCACTTAACTGGGTTGCAAGGAGGCATTGAGGGTCTTTTAACATCAGAGGAAAGACAGCTCAAATTATAGACCTCGCAGTGCTGAATCAAGCTGACTTCAGTCAGAAGAAAAGTATATCTGCCTTTTAGAGACTCTCTAGACTTATAAAACTAAACATATACATTTTGGTAGAATTTGATTTGTGACAGAATATTATGTCATAAAGGTCTGGTACATCAAGTGCTCTACAAAGAAATGAGGACTGTTTTGGGGGAAACTACCTTCCTTCTGTTTGAGACTGAATTTAAGCAGAAATGTAGATAGCATGGGTATAATTTCGGATAAAATTCAAGCCTGAGTATATTCCCCATACATTTATGGAACCATTTATCATTTAAATGTACGACAAACTAACATTCCGATGTGGGTATTGAGCTTGGTTCGAACATGTCAAGTCTAAGTGGAGGCAGCTATTGACATAGTAGAAATACTGTGCAAGTGTATGCTGAAACACGTCATTTACTGACTGATATCATCAGTATAGACAATTCATGATGTTGCCAGTTGAATGAGAGAGGAGCCTTGTCAATGTTAGATATTATTTAAGAACAATGAACAGGTCAGAAATGATTGAAGAAAAGGGAGGATTTTAATTGTGGGGAAGATGTTAAAAATATGTGCCAGTAGGGCAGTCAATCAAATCAAGCCTAGTCTCAGTTCTGGGACTGTTGCTTGACTTCTGGAAATGGACCAAGCTAAGTGAGTGCTTAAATCAACAACAGAGGATTAGTGGCAAACTCCTGTTGGCATTGCTCATCAACTCTAATAGCAAAGATTGCCGTCTCATGCAGAGACTGGGGGAAGGAAAGTAAATGTCAGAAGCAATTTATATGCCCCAAGATGGCTAAATTCAGGGTTGATTCTTCAGCAAATGTGATTGCAATTTATTTCAAACTGGTGGGTAACACAACCCCAGATGGATACCACTAATGACAAGGTTGTAATCCTCCAGAAACAGTATAAATGGAGAGAATGAAATATGAAGAAAACTATGAACAGTTGGAAACTTTGAGGGGTTTGTTTACTCCCAGTGGTTTAGGTTTGGCTGTAGCTGAGTGGTGGTGTAAGGTGAGAAAGGGCTTGCCACCATGTGGGTGGGGTGATGCTCAGGAAGCTCACCTGGTCACAAGGACGTGTTGATGTCAGGGGCTCACTGAAGTACTATGTAGGGGATGATCAGGATAGGCTGGGCCCCCATAGTCCCAGGTTTTTTCCAGTTTAACAGTGAGGGGCAGCAAGGGGTAGGGGCCAGACTCCGTGAGGAATCTGAGGATCTGGTTTCTGGCCCTTGTTGTGCCACTTACTGGGTCACTCTGGTTGGACATGTCTTTTGACCTCCCTGAGCCCAGACATTTCCATCTGTTGCCTGGGGTCAGTGCTTCCTGTCCTACTTAGTCTCTTGTAGAGGGTTGTTGTTAGCATCTGGGAGACAGAAGACACATAGGCCCTTTGAAAAAGCCTGCAGATATTAATATCTTTACAGTTGTTTTTTATTATTTGCTGGTAACTAACTCCAGTGGGAGCCAGAGCTGGAGCTGGAGCCATGCAATCGTTCATACTCGAGCCGAGAGATATTTTAGGAAATAATCAATACAAGATGCACTGGGTTGGAGCCATGATAAGAGTCATAAATCTTGACAGTGTGCTGTTTGATAAAATTAAGACTTGAGAGAAACATGTAAAAACCTACAGGAGGAGAAAACAAAGTGCAGTTGGGGAGAGAGCTAAGCCCATGTGGAGACAGAGCCATCTGAGGAGAGTTGGCTCATTCTGCTGCTGGTAGGGCAGATCACACACGGGCACAGACGCTCATGCGCGCACACCACAATGTGCACACATGGGCAATGTATACAACCACGGACACAGGCATATGTGCACATATGCACACACATATATACGCATGTGCACACAGCCACCTCGTTAGCTGGATCTCAGGAGAAACTGGTGTGTAAGGAAGACTAGTGTTCATTTTAACAATCTTCTAAGGAAATGCCCCCTGCCTCTGATATTTTAAGGTGAGACAATGACTGGTCTGTCCCATCTCTCTTCTTGCTAGTTGAGAAGCATGTGCTCATGTCACTGTGGGATTTGCAACTGTTGTGTGCAGCAAGCGAGATGAGGGGAAGGAAGGGGGGCTTAATGACTGAAACCTGAGATGCTCTAGATTAGAAAGGAAAGTGAAGAATATTGCTCTTCTTGTGTCTTCAAACCTTCTAGTCTTCTGTCTTTGTCAAGACTGTCCCCTGGACTTGAGCCAGGCATGCCCTGCTGGTCGGAGGTCAGTGCAAAGAGGCTGCAGGCAGGCCCATGAGGGTGTTGGGCTTGGGGGCGCCAGGAGCAAACCTGGTTAAGGCAACTCGAGGCCCAAGGGGAATCTGTTAGGAGTCTGGCCTGCATCCGGACACAGTTGACTTTCCATTGTGTAAGAAAATTGTCTTTAAGCACTTCGTATGTGGTCAGAGACTAGATGGTCTCATAAAAAAAGATGAACATGACCTGGCTGGTGTGGCTCAGTTGGTTGGAGTGTCATCCAACCAACCTAGGTTGCGGTTAGATTCCAGGTCAGGGTGCATACAGGAGGCAATTGATCAGTGTTTCTCTGTCACATCGATGTTTCTCTCTTCTCCCTGCCTGTCTCTCTAAAAGCAGTAAAAAAAATGTCCTTGGATGAGGATTAAAAAAAAAAAGGATGGAAACATTTACTTACCATATTTTTTCAGACTATAAGATGCACCTAGGTTTTAGAGGAGGAAAGTAGGAAAAAAAACTTTGAAGCAAAAAGTGTGCTAAAATAATAACATAAATAACATAATATTTTACCAATGTAAACGTAAACAACTCAACAGCAGCATTAACAACCATTATTACTGACTTTAAGCTGTAAGTACGGAAACTCCTCTAATCATCAGGGAACCCCAAGAACTCCCTGTCACTACTGTCCTGGTTTATGGAGCTCAGTTCCTCAGACTCACTAGTGTCACTGTCTTCACTCTTTTCATAGAGGATGTCATCTTCAGAGCTGTCTAAAGCATTGCTGATGCCACATCTTTTGAAGGACCTCACAACAGTTTCATCCTTACCTGACTGCCAGGAGGTTTTCACCCACTCACAAACTTGGGTAATAGTGGGCCTCTTCATTCCTGCAGTTGGTGTCAGATCATGATCTCCAGCAGCCATCCATTTGTTCCACTCTTCTCTCATGAGAACTTTCGATGGCTTGTTGATGGAAATGTCCAAAGGTTGCAACTGGCTGGTAAGCCCCCAGGAATTACGGCTAGATGGGTTTTCTCTTCTTTAAATGTCCTTTTTGTGGTTTCAGTGAGATGTGCCTTAAACTGGTCAAGCACTAATAGAGCAGGTTTTTTCAGAAGCCCTCCAGGACATTTGGACCACACTTTTTCTATCCATATCTTCATGCCATTTTCATCCATCCATCCTTTGTCATGAACATGAACAATAACTCCTCTTGGGATTGCCTCTTTTGGAATGTTTTTTTTTTCTCTTGAAAATCAGCATTGGTGACAGTTTGGTGCCATCTGCACAGCAGGAGAACACAACTGTGTAGTGGGTTTTATCATGCCCTAAGGTTTTCACGGTTACGGTCTTGGCACCTTTCACATCAACAGTCTTGTTTGATGGAACATCAGAGGTTAACAGGACTTCACCCATGTTCCCAACCTGGCTTATTTCAAATCCATTTTTCTTGCATCCAGTACAAATTTGTGTAAAGACACAATCTTGGATTCATATTCTATAGGCATTCTTTGTGCAATCCTTGTTCTGGTGCGCAGAGCAAGGCCACATCTCTTCATAAATCTGTGGCACCATGATGGTGATGCAGTGAAGTCCTCAACGCCTTTCCCTGCAGCAAGACGTTTGGCTTCACATATGATCATTCCTGTAGATACTGAAAAGCCATTGTTCCTTGATGTGATCCACTCTTTCACAGCCACTTCTCACTGTGACCATTTTGCAGCATGCCCACAAAAACATTGTTTCATTTGTCTGTTTTTTTGCAGTTGATGCTCCTGTTTCCTCCATTCCTGTATCATTTTTTTTCAGTTGGAGGTGGCCCAGAGTGTCTCTCCGCTGCTCTTTTCCCATGTTCTTTGGCTACCATGTACTTCACTGCCTCCAGTTTCAAAGGGATTTTATATGAAATCCTTTTCTTCTTGGACATTTTTCCACAATTACAGTAGATTCAGCAGGAGACTATGGTACGCTATGGTATCTTTCTACAACAAAATACAGTAATGACAGAACTGTCAGCACTGTGTTCTTCATATTTCTGGGGGCACCGTACCTGAGAACATCAGTGGATGGTGCACTGTTATGGGGGGATCTGCTGCTGACACTGTTATGGGGGGATCTGCTGCTGATATTGTTATGGGGGGGATCTGCTGCTGGAGGGCCACAGGTTGTGCAACACTCTTGTATGGGGACAGCAGTTTTGTACAACCTGTGTGGCTCTGCGGCTGTTGCCAAATTACAACTCCCATCATTCCAATCTGTCCAAGCATGGTGGGAGCTGTAGTTTTGCAACAGCTGCAGGGCCACATTGACAGGTGACCGTGCAGTGGAATTTGCCTATGTTAATGTTAATGGGGGACACACCAGTCACATGATGGAGACATGTATGGGCACTGCAGGCCCATACTGCCTGTACCCTGCACTGCCTGTACCCTCCTTCTAGCATTATAGTATGCCGCAGCGAGGACTCTGCTCCTGCCTCCCTTGCTTTGCACTGCCAGGACACCCACTCCTCCCAGCCCAGGGCCACAGCATTGCCCCAGTCCTGCTAGCAGTGACCCTGCTCCTGCCTCCTGTAATCCTGCTCCTGCCTCCTGTGACCCTGCTCCACTGCTGCCTGCCCACCCCCTCCCCCTGCCCCCGCTGCCACAGCGAGCCAGGTGAGCTATATTCAGACTATAAGACACACACCCCTTTCCCTCCCAAATTTGGGGCGGGGGAGTGTATCTTACAGCTCAAAAAATACAGTATGTAGGATGATGGGATTAATTTTCATTTAAAAACTTGTCTGTGTTGCATTTTTATTATAAATGTTTATTATAAAAAATGTTAATTCAGAAGGTCAAAACCATAAAGAAACCTTGACATTGGTCTGTCCTGTTTTCATGCAGAGAAATAGAATTTTGGCAGTCGAAGCCTTGTTACAGGAGAAGTCCTCTGCACAGCAGAGGCAGCCACGCAGTGATGGTGAGAGGGACTGGACACCTGCCCTTCGTGAACTGACACTTGGTTTTGAATGAAAAGGAGTAGGATCAGAATCCTGCAGGTACGAGTCTATTTATGGGAACAGATGTTTGTAAAAGGGTACTGCTTACAACCCATCTCCCAACCTTCTCTTTAGTTGTTACATTCGATCCTGTATTTGTGTTTTCTTTGCTTTTCTTGTATTGCGTCAATCAATTATTTTTATTTGTTCAATTTTATAATAACAGTATAATCATTTGTGATTTACATTCTTCACTTAAATATTATCACAAATGGATACATATGGCTGTTTGCCACTGAATTTATATTTATTTTTTAAACTGTTTTTATTTTACTGTAATAATGCTCATGGGAAGCTACAAAAGTAGTACACAGAGTCATGAGAACTCTTCACCCAGTTTTCTTCAGTGGCGATACTGTACATAGCTGTGTCCAGTATAAAACCAGGACATCAACTCACATAGTATGTTAACTAGACTGCTGATCTTAATCAGATTTCACAGCTTTTACACTCACTCAGTTGTTTGTGTGTCTGTGTGTGTGGTTCTGTGCAGTGTGGCCCTATATATAGATTCATGCAGCCACTGCCACAACCAGGATATAGAACTGTTTCACCGAAATGCACAGTGCCACCCATTTGCCATTACCTACAGCCCCCACCACCTCTGCTTTTTTGGCATCTGCTAATCTGTTCTCTGTCTTCATAATTTTGCCATTTTGAGAATGCCACACAGTGGGAGTTTGCTCGCTTCAACTGCTGTGTGGGATTCCTTTGTGTGGATGTGCACTGCACTGGGAAGTCTGAGACTTCTCCATTGTGGCAACCACATGGGTTTAAAACGGCACTGCCCTGTGGGGCTTGCTTTGCATGTTCCAGCTCAGCAAAGGTGGGGAGCAGGGCAGCTCGAAGTGCGTGACTGCTGTGGCCCCTCACGGTACCCTGAGTCCCCCAGCAGAGGGTCATTCTTGTGGCTCTGCATGTGCCCTCCCTTCCTTGTGGACACCCCTATGCCTCAGAATTAGTTCTTGCGTCCAAGCCTCCAGTCTGATGTTCCCATAGGGGACAATCATAACTAGAACATGAAGAGAGAATGGTCAGACAAGGAGCTAGGTGGAAGCTAGGAGCTAGGAGCAAGGAGCTAGGAGTCCACCTTGGACTCATCATTGGTGAGTCCAAGGTGGCAATTTTTCTGTTCTGCAGTGTAGTCATTTAAAAATATATAAAAATTAAAAACAAAGAAATTCATGATTGCCAACTGTGGTGAGGGCACCCACCATGACGTCCTTTGGGGCAGACTGGCTTCCCTGTGACTTGAGCCAGTCAGGGTCTCTTCCCTTCTGGATGCATCAGCTGTGGCTCCAGATAGAAGAAATTCAGCTGAGATGCAACAAATAGTCCTCCACTCAGAAACACTCGTGGACCCTGGGCTACACTCAGGATCCATCTTGCCTCTCCACCTGCCTTCTCCTCAGTCAGATCTGGTGGAGTGTGACCTGGGAAATCTCCACAGTGTCTCTGAATTGTGGACAGGGCCCTCTTCTCCAAATCTCCAGGGTCTGGCATTGAGCCTGGTGCATTGAGTCCTGTAGGGAACGTTTGGCTGAATGCGGGGGAGGCAGCCTGTGGTCCAAGCAGACTTAAAAGATATTCTGACCAATTGCAATGTGTGCACATTATTTAGATCCTGGTTCAAACAACAAACTGTAAAAGAAAATTACATGTGAGTTGGGGAAATTTGTACATTGATTATTTGGCAATATTAAAGAATTATTGTTTTTATTTTTATTTTTAAAAAGATTTTGTTTATTTATTTTTAGAGAATGGAAGGGAGAGCGGGAGAAAAACATCAATGTGTGGTTGCCTCTTACATGCGCCCTACTGGGGATGTGGCCCACAACCCAGGCATGTACCCTGACTGGGAATCAAACTGGCTACCCTTTGGTTCACAGGCTGGCACTCAATCCACTGAGCCACACCAGCCAGGGCAGAATTATTATGTTTTTAGGTGGTATAATGGTTTTAGGGTTTATGAAGGACCAAAGTCTTGGCTACTGACCCTCACCAAATCCTTGCAGCAACTTCATGGAATGCTGTTCCATGTCAGGCAGCCCGGGTTTGAACCTTAGCCCTGCCCATTTCCTCCAGTGCAGCCTTTCCTGGTCACTTCCCTCTCCTGAACCTCAGAGTCCTCATCTGTCAAGTGGCGATGATGATGTTTTCCAGGTTGTCACAAGAACCAGTGACCTCATGTGTATGGAGCTCAGTGCCTGGAAGGTATGGGTGCTCATTCATGGGGTGGTCACTGTTCACTTCATTGTCAGATGTGGGGTTGAGGCTCCTGTGTCATTTGTCTGAGGTCCCGCAGCAGTGGGTGTCTGAATGGGGGTCTGACCCAGCCTGCCTCGGCCTGGCGGAGTGCCTGCCTGCATGCCTGCCTGTTTGCAGCAGCACCTCCTCCGTCCCCTTCCTGCTTCTTGGTCCCATGTCTTCCATTCTAGGCACCGAGCTGGACCCTGAGCAGACAGGCAGAATGAACATTCAAAATAGTCACTGGATGGAGAAATGGTACTCTCTTCTGTTGGAGTGGCCTCTTGAGAGAAAGGACCTTGAGTCATGGCTGCAGAGAAGACCTGGTGCCTGACAGGCAAGGAAGGGAGGCCACATAAGCCTTGTGACGGCACCATGAGCTTAACAGATGCTCCTTGAAAGGGGTTTGAGCAGCAGGGCCAGCTATCATTCAGTCATTGACTGTTGGTGACAATGGCCTGTATCGTCTTTGTTTCCAGTGTAGAGTAATTTGTTGGCTATTTGGTGGTGCAGTCAGGAATCTTGGAAGCCCAGGACGTGTAGCTAAGTGGCTTCAGTCACTCCAGGTAGGGCATGTACCTCAAATGATGTCTTCTTTTATGGAGAGCTGTAAAAATTCACAGTAGCTAGGGGGAGCTTGTTTGTGTGCAGAAAAAAATATGAATCAGAGAACTAGTGTCAGCCAGAGTTTTGTTTGGAATGAGAATGTCACACTCTCTTTTTTGAATTGTGTAACCCTGTCATTTCATTAACATCACATTAGCTGTCACCTCTCTTTCTTACTGACATTCTTAATGGTCAGACAGGTCTGTAGTTAGAGCAGCCACCTGCCCAGCAAATCTCCTTTTAATGTCTAGTAAACCCCAGGAGCAGAGATACACTGGGACGATGGCAATGACTGAGAGGGGCCATGGGAGGAACGTGAGAGGGCTCCAGACCAAAGCCACTTTTGACCTGTCTGCACAGGCGAGGGTTCTCTGTGTTGTGTCGCGGTTCCAGGCAGTAGGACAGCGGCACAGAACCAGGTTCTCCCTCTGACCGAGTCCAGCCTCATGCTCTCTGTGTGTGCCCTCTGGCAGGAGGCCCTCTGGTTCACAACAGGTCTAATACTAGTCAGCACTTACACAGCACCTACTATGTGGTGGTGGGCGCCACTCTGAGAACCTTACATGCAGTTAAGTAATGCCTGAGACAACATTGTGAGGACAGTGCAGAGGCCGTTTGGGGGTCTTTCCTCATGCTAGTGGGTGAATGACTGGAAGAGGTGTTGTTGTCGTTGGTACTCTCCATCAGTTGCACTGTGTGGCAGGAGGGCACTCTCTGTGCTGGCTCTTCCTTACCCGGAGTGGGGGTCCTCTGTGCCGGCACGGTGCCATTTCCTTACCTGTGACCTGTGGGAAAACTCATATGACAACTAAAGCAAACATTTCACTAATCAATCTTACTTTTCCTATCTTTATTACATGTGATGAACTCCAAGAGCTTTCCTTCCCTTCTTGTTAATTAAAAAATGTTTCTCGAGCCCTGACCAGTGTGGCTCACTGCATTAGGCATTATCCCGAAAAGTAAAAGGCCGCTGGTTCTATTCCCAGTCAGGGCACATGCCTGGGTTGCAGGTTCAGTGCCTGGTCTGAGTGCCTGCAAGAGGCAACCAATTGATACTTCCCTCTCTTTCTCCCTCCCTTCCTATCTCTCTGAAAATAAAGAACAAAACTGAAAACCCCACACAGTGTTTCTTGAGACCCTGTCAGTGGATCTGTTTCTAGTGTGGGTCACATTGGCCTTTTGAAACCCTGCTCTGCAAATCCCTCCCCCATCCTTGAGCTCCTACTCCCCATAAATAAAGAAAGCAAATGTTTGCTTACTTCACTCTCCTTTGTAGTTTCCCATTTGGTATTGGGTATCCATAAGAAATGCAGAGGAATAAATACACTTTGAAGTTCTAGCAATGTGTTTGTGTGCATGCAAATGTGCAAGCATGTACATGAGTGTGGGTGTGGCCTGTGCACGTGTGTGTGGTTAGCATTCTGGTCTTCACATTTGCTGAGTTTGCCCTTTGGAGTCTGGGTCTTCATTAGCGGGTCTTCCTGACCCACACGTGCTGGGTGTCAGTGTTTAGGACGACACAGTCAGGTGAGGGTTGCGTTGGGGGTGCCCCGCCTTTCCTCTTGCTCTACTGCTGGTTGTTTTCAGCAGCTGGTGGTGTCCAAGGTCATGATAGTAACAAGAGTGAGGACTACCATTTAGTGACCGCTCTCCATGTGCTAGACTCTGTGTTAGATGCCCGTTCAGTGTTCCACATTCCCTCGCGACAGCCCCACAAAGTGTTGGTGAGATGCTTCTGCTCGTTGGGCACGTGTGTGCTGGGCACCAGGGTTATCCTGCTCCATGTCATGTTGTTAACCATTCTGTGATCTCGTAGGGAGATATTATTGCCCCTGTGTGACAGATGGAGAAACTGAGGCTCACAGCGGCGGAGAAACTGACTATGGCTGTGTAGTCGTGAGCGAGTCTCAGGTTCTGGTGTAATCGTCCATAACAGTTTAGCTTCCCTGCAGTGTGGTGGGTGCTGACTGAACATGTTTTGGGTTTGGGGTGGCCCATTTTTCTTCTCCCTAAACCATGGTATTGAGGTCACCTTGCTGTCATTAAAGGGAAAAAACCCTCACCTAGACTTTTTATTTGTTGCATCCTACAGTTATTTTTTTCCACAAAAATCACTTCCCTGTGCTGGTTCCATTTTTCCTAGACGGCATAAATGACTTATGGCATGCCTTGGGAGCTCCTTCTGTCAGTGGGGGAGCTGTGGACGTGACGGCACAATGATGAGGGACTCTGGAGAACCCATGTCTCCTGAGGATGACATAGAGGGGGTGGATCTCTGCTGCGTTGGTTTCTGTTTTCCCTTCACTTCCCTGTAAGCTGTGATGGCGAATCAAGTGAGCCTTCGCTCCCTCAAGGACTGTTTCCATCTCTCGCAGCTTTTGGTTATTCCTTCCCCTGTGTTTGTTTTATTTTTGGAGGAGGGGTGTTAGGTGGTGGTATGGATATTTAAGAGGTAAGAGAGAGTTTTATTTTTATACTCTATGCTAAATATAAAAATAAATGAGGCTAAAATCTCTCAGGAGAAAGGCATCTTAATTTTTGGAACCTATAGCAGTGACCAATCTGCTGGCCCTCAGCAAAGACTCGTAACAGGAACCGACACACATGGTGTGCATTATGTAGATCCAGCTACAACGCCGGTGTCTTGGCTGATGCAAACTTTCCAAAGCAAGTGTCTTTGCCAGAAGTGACAAACCTCCTTTCCCAGAGCATATCAGTGTTTATGGGGACTGGTGGCCTCCTGTCTTCTTTCCCACCCCACCAGATCTTTCCTGCCAGGCTAGTGGTTTTCTGCTACTCCCTTTTCCTCCCTTGAGGTTCACGCTTCCCCTTACCACAAGGGCTGTTGTTGTTTTCTGTTTGTTTGTTTGTTTGTTTGTTTGTTTGTACTGTGTTAGCCTCAAATGGTTCCTTTCTTTAAGAAGTCCTGGCTGGCCCACCAAGACCACGGCAGCCTCTGGAGACTTAAGAGGATTCAGCCATGTCCATTTATGTCTCTGAAAAGCCCTTGCACATGTGAAAACTTTCCCTGTGCAAACATATGTCAGAGCAGGTTTTCTTAGGCTTCAAGACTGTATTTCTTGGCCAGAAGGAAAGTGGAATCTATGTACTTTAAAATCTGAAACCTGAGATAATCTTTCCATGATCAATAGCTTGTTGGTTTAGTTCAGTCACATCTTCAATGTTGTCGGCTCCAATTAAATGGTGCATTTTCCCTGGACGCCCCTACCTGTGCAGGGTACCTATTCAGAGTTGGCAGTTCCGGTCAGCCTGTCCTAGATGAGATGTTTCAGAGTAACCCAGGTGATGAACCAAATTAGAGAGATTCAACAGATTATGGGGGACATTTCCATTGTGATACTGTACTGCTGGCTTCCAGCGAGTAAGGAAAAGAAAAACAAGTTCTGAGCAGAGACTTAAAAACTCTGCATTTTCTTTCTACTTCTCCCAGAACAGTGTTATTTTCAGTGTTTTGAGCTGAAATCCTCAATCTGTTATAGAGACAATCTGTGTGACACATCCTAAGATTCTTTTTCTTAAAAGATTGAGAATCATTTACAAATGGTTCTAAGGGCTTATAAGTCTGAACCTATTTGAGGAACCTTTTATTATCTTATTTATCAATTAAGTAAATGGAGAGGCAGGTTCTAAAATGGCCATCGAAAGCCTTAACTGAGGTGTTTTTTTTTTAATAAAACTCAAAATTGTATGGGCTGAGAGCCTAAGCAGCAGTGGGCACAGGTCAAGATTGCTGGTTAGTTTTGCTGGCGTTGAGCATTCTCTTTTGGCCTTTGGTTAGTTGGTTGCTGTTTGAATGACAGACCCTGCCCCTGGAGGCGGGGATATTCATGGACCCATGACAGTGGCAGGCATGAGGACAAGCAGTTTGTCTCGAAGGAGCGATGCCTGGGAGATGAAAGTAAACACATAGATGTGGACTCGTTCAACACGGGCCCCGGTCATTGGATGTCCATCCTGTCTGTGAGCCTCATAGGCGGGCTGCTTGGGGAGGAGGGGTGTGTGGAGAGCAAACACATATTACAGGGCTTTTAGTGGCTTGGGTGCTGGATTATTTAAAAGTCAACGCCTCAGTGTGAAGCAGTGTAGAGAGAAAGATGTTGATAAGAGAAGAGAGCTGTGAGACACTGAAGCCAGGTGGTCTCAGTGACAGCACACGTGCCAGCCCAACGTTATAACGGAGAGACCACGGAGAGACCAGAAAGGAGGGACGGATACCTTTATCCAATGAAAACTGGCAACTCACTTTCTTGACTGGAAGATTCTTTGAAAAAGTGCTTTAAATTCTAGTGATTTTCACAGGGGAGATGGAGGTGAGCTGTGTGAACTGAGGTGATGCTACAGTGGCCTTGACCTCACAAGACTGAGCCAGATGACTTTGGTTGTCTCCTCCTTTGCCGTGAAGTCACCTGAGTGTGTGTACTTCACGATGCCAGTCTGTTTCACAGTCGTCCGTGCACTGAGCTGAGGTGTCTAAATGAGCTTTGAGAATGGATGCTGTTGATTTGCTGTTTCTGTAGGAGTGTGTGATCCACACACTGTGTGAAGACTCTGAGGATGTACACCAGAAATGCCATGTATGGAAGCTACACCATGGTCTTCACCTAGCTCATTGTACATGGAAGGTCTCAAGGTTGGTCACCACTGAAAACGAGAACAATTCTCTTCACTCTCACGGCTCTCCAGTGAGCACTTCACCCTGAAAACCCACTCACAGGGCTGCATGTATCTTATAAAGGACTCAGTACTGCCTTTACCTCCTAAATATACGCGATGATAAAATTTATCAGGCATTTAGATGTTATACACTCTTATCTGCTGTGCACATAGAACTGAATGGATTTTGGGATTGACATAACTGCGTCCTATTCCAGGAAATTGTAAGGCTTTACTCCTATCTTTAGAAGCAGAATTTAGTCACCATCTCTTTGCCTTCCTTAGGGTCCCACTGCTTCATCGCTCCTGTCTGCAATGAAAATGGAAGCTTGTACCCAGGAGTGACTATGGTTGATATGACGTACAAAGAAGGTGAGTCCCCAGGAGACTCTGTCCTGGCCTCATTTGCACCTCCTGCCTGCTCCCACCCCACCTAAGGAGTGTCCAGCCCAGTTCTCCAAAACAGAGAGGCAGAAGACTCTGACTTCGAGGCCTGATTAGAGTCTTTTCTGTACCATTGTTAGAGAATGTTGGGGAGTGCCGCTTAGAAGCGTGCATGGGTCTTGCTTCCTCCCAGCCTCGCAGGCTCCCTAGTAATGAGGCAGCTCTGAGCTGGGTTGCGTCATCCCCTCTGTCCTTGGACTTGTGGGCTCTCAGAGGGCAGGTTGAGGCTCTCCTTTTCCTGCCCCTAAGCCACCAGCCTGGTATCGGTACACATGAGGTCCTTGATAAGTCCTAAGCTCGACCTGGTGGACTAGTTTGGGAGGCCCTAGGTCTGAGATTGAGGTGTTAGCAGGGTTGGTTCCTTCTGAGGCTGTGAGGAAGTGTCTGTTTCAAGCCCCCATCTTTGGCTTATAGGTGTCTGTCTGCCTTCATTGGTCTGTGTCTACATTTCCCCTTTTCATAGGGGCACAAGTCACTTGGATTAAGGTCTAACCTAATGACCTCATTTTAAGTTGATTGCCTTTGTAAAGATCCCATCTCCAAGTAATGTCCCATTCACAGATAGTGGGGGTTAGAACTCCAGCATATGATTTTGGGGGACACACAGTTCAACCCATAGCACTCAGTGGAGGAGGGCCACACCATGGGCTTCATTGGTCATCCCTAGCCAAGGCCAAGCCAAGCCAAAAAACAGGTGCGGGGAGAAGAAAATAAAGAAAAGAAAGGGCAGGGGAAGAGAGTGGGGAAGAAGACAGTCTTTTGGTAGAAGGGTGGTCTTACCCTGGCCCCTTCAAGATTTTCGACCACTGGTCACTGACTGCTGTGTGGCCACGGGAATGGGCTGCAGGCATGTCTGGGAGTGCTTTAGATGCGTCTCCCGGGGGGACCAAGGCCCTCACCGGCCCCGCCTCCTGAAGGTGCCTCCAGTGTCAGTGGTACTGAGAGCAGAGGGGAGGGCCCAGCTCTTGTGAAGTGGGCCCGGACGTTGAAACACCACCACCTCAGAAACCCTGCTTGGTGGTCTTGGGAGCTCCTAAATTCAGGTGTGTTCTTGTCAAAGGGCCATGTTCTAAATAGAGATATTTTCCCCCAGACTAAGGTTCCCCAAGGGTGAGAGGAACCAGAAGTGGACCCCAGTTCTGACGACATCATGAGGAAAGAGGTTAGCAGATTTCAAAAACCTCCCAGGGGACCAGGTGACCCACTCACTGCCATCCTTGTCCTTGTGGCTGTCTTTCTTGTCTTAGGTCTTTGCTTGACAAATTTACCCCGTGTGTTGGGACAGAGCATCTCGGGGGAAGGGAACTGGAGTTCGGCATCCCTGGGGGAGTGACGGCTGTCCTCCTCTCTGTGTTCAGTCTGACACTCTTTCTGTTGCCTAGAGCTCCCCTTTTCCTAGTCACAGCCACTGCTCGGTAGGCGGCTGTGTCCCCCAGAGACCCCACCTGAGCCCCAGGAAGGCACAGCTATTCAAGATAACAAGCAAAGAGCACCCTACCCCCAGCCCAACTAAAGTGCATTAACACTTCTGGAAAGGGGCTTTGCATCTGAGTGGAGGCAGGCCTGGGAATAGCAGGAACAGTAGTTCTGATGCTGGTCTGGCTTTGTCCCCTGCATCTCTATGTCTGTTCTGCTCTCTCTAGGTCTGCATGGTGTGGTTAATGGGATTTTAATATTTGACAAGGTTCAGGTACCAGGGGACCACCTGCTGGATAAGTGAGTAGCTCCTCTTTAACTCAGATTCACTGTGTGTATGATCTCATTGCTCCCCCGCCGGGGGCTGGCTCTCCAACTCATGGGCTGCACATCAAGGCTTTGTTCTCACAACCACTTCTGCAAGTTTGTTAACAACTAACTGGAAACTGTTGATAAACAAATAGAAAAAAATTAAAATTATCCAAGACGCTATTACCCAGACATAGTGTGTATTCTACTTTAATGTATTTTTTTAGAATTTTCTCCAGGAAAAAAGAGAGAAATATCTTCAATTTTTACTGAATGAAATCCACTCATAAGTTCTATTCTTTGTAACCTGTAATCTCTGTTTAACATTATATATCAAATGTTTCTGTACAACAGTAAATACACACATGTATCATCATTTTTAACATTGCCATCAAAGACTATTAAATAAATTATCTGTAATTTATCTGTTAAATAAATTATTCTCTAACTTAACTCCTTATTGTTGGGTATTTAGGTTGTTTCCTTTAATTTTTTTTTCTGTCATAAATGAATAGGTGCTATTGTCCCCCTTGCGGGTGGCAGAAAGTAGGACACTACTTTTCAGTGTCAGAGATTAAAACTAGCACAGATAATGTCACAGGTGCTCAGTGTCACTTCCCAGCTTCCTCAGTGCAGGCCAGGAGTTCAAACAGGGAGGTGACCGTGGCTTCTCTAGGTGCAGTCCAGGGTTCACAGTGCTCTTCACAGATGCTTAGAAACACCGGTGACTTTGCTTTTCTCACCAGCATTTCATGTGTCCAGCTAAAATCCTGAGTCACAGTCATATTTAAATTTGTAAAAAGCTCCCCCCAACCAGGCTTATTCTCCACTTTCCTGTAGATTTCCCTTTTACACTTTGCTCCTTTTTGTTCCTTGCAAGTTCTTGGTAGCAGATAAAGTTGTAGATGCCAAAAGTTTAGGAAAAATGTGGGGGAAACAAACTTAAAATGGACCAAATTCTCTTTGTTAACTCTCCTCCTACCCTTGAATTGGAAATAACAAAAGCTTCTTTGCACTTACCCTGGTGAAGCCTTCAGGCCCCCCAGGAGCTGCCAGTGTCCGTGAGCCTCAACACCTGTGTATTTCCTGGTCGCTTATGGCATCACTCCACTTGGAGATGGGGAGGAGGGCAGCAGAGGTATAGGTGGTGGGCTCCCCGTATCTCACCTTCCCTACCAGATCTCAGTGGCCTGGACAGCCCTGTGCTGGAAGCTGAACCTACTGGTTTAGCATTCATCTAATGCACTAGGGATTAGAAAGTGGGTTAAGCCAGAAAGAAAAATGATAGGGGGCTACATAATCTGTAGAAGACATGAGTGCCTATAGAATATTCTTTGATAAGTAAGATTTGATTTTAAAGCCATTCCATTGACATTTAAGGTACACCCCCCCCCCAACACACACACGTAGTACAGAACAGCAGGAGCAACACAGATGTTTGAGGGAGGAGTCCCACTTTGGGGGTGCTGGTTTATCACTTTATCAAAGATGGGCCAGTTACTAGACGTTCAGATTCAGTGAAATCCTTATCAAAATCCCAGCTGCCTTTTTCTGCAGAAATGGAGAAACTGGCCCTAAAATTTGTATGGAAATGTAAAAGTCTTAGAATAGCCAAAACAATCTTGACAAAGAAGAACCAAGGTGCAGACTCACACTTCTGATGTGAAAACTTACTACAGCTGCAGTCATCACGACAGGGTGGCATGGGCATAGGGATGTACATACACACGGTGGCATAGGACAGAAAGTCTAGAAATAAATTCTTACATTTATGGTCAAGTGATATTCAACAAGGCTTCCAAGACAATTTGATGAGGAAAGAAGTTTTTTTAACAAATAATGCTGGGACAACTGGATATTTACATGCAAAAGTATAAAGTTGAAACATTTCCTCATGGCATATATAAAAATGAACTGAATGGATCATAGACTAAGTGTAAGAGCTAAAACTGTAAAACTGTTAGAAGAAAACAAAGATGTACATCTTCATAACCTTAGTTTATGCAATGACTTATAATTAGATGTGGTACCGAAAGCACAAGCGATCAAAGAAAAGAAATAGGTAAATTTGAGTTCGTCAAAATTAACAGACTTTTGTGCTTCAAAGGACACAATGAAGAAAACAAGAAGGTGGTCCACAGAAAGGGGGAAAACATTTGCAACTCACATAGAGCATAAGGCGCTAGTATCCAGACTATAAATGGAACTAGTACAAGTTCCATAATAAAAAAAGTCATATGACCTGATTAATTAAAACATGGGCAAAAATCAGATAGACACTACTCCAAAGAAGATACACAAATGGCCAATAAGGACACGAAAAGATGCCGACTATCACTGTCACTAGGGAATGCCCATCAAAATCACAGCGAAGTGCTATTTCACACCCACTTGCCTCTCTGCAGCAAGAGACTGATGATAACAAGTGTAGACAAGGTGAAGAAATCGGAATCCTCATGCATTCCTGGTGAGGATGTAAGATGGTCTTGCTGATTTGGAAAAGGCTGGAAGTTCTGTAAAACTTTAAAGTTTTCTTATGACCCAGCAATTTTACTCCTGAGGGTGTCTGAGAACATTGTCCATAAAAGAATTGACAACATATTGACAACATAAAAACTTGTTCATAAATGTTCATAGCATAATTATTCATAATAGCCAAAAAGTAGAAACAACCTAAATATTCATAAACTCATGAGTAGATAGACAAAATATGGCAGAGCCATACAATGGAATACCATCTGGCCATAAAAAAGAATGAAGTACTTACATACATGCTACGACACACATGGAACTTGAAAACAATGTGCCAAGTGAAAGAAGCCAGACACGAAATCCACATGTGGTATGATTCCATTCATCTGAAATCTCCAGAATGGACAAACCCATAGAGACAGGAAGTAGATGAATGGTTGTTGAAGCTGGACAACCAGTGGGGAGTGTGGTGTGGGGTTTCTCTTTTGGGGTGATGAAATGTTTTGGGATTAGAAAGTGGCAGGTGGTTGTACAGCTTTGTGAATATACTAAACACCATTGAATTGTATGCTTTAAAGGGGCGAGTTGTGCGGTATGTGGATATCTCAACAATGAAGAAGTGGATTGATGGGCGGTCTTCACACTCAGGCTCTGGTGTTAGTTTAATCATGGCAGCCCTCATGCCTGTCTTTGTGAGGGGCCACTGCTGAGTCCTCGGTGGGTGGTGGTGGGAGACCTGCTTTTCCCTTTGTGAGCATCTCCTGGGAAGGCACTTCCCCTGCCCCCACCCTACTGTCTCCTGAGGGGGGTTGCAGGATGTGGAGCCCTGTGAGACTTTCCTGTGTGGGCCAGTGGGAGCTGCCTGACCTCTTTGCTGCTGGTGCCATGTTCTTCTCTTTTGTTAACTCCACTCTCTTCCCCTCCTGCAGGTTCAGTTCCATGGCTCCAGATGGGCAGTGCCATTCCCCTACTAAGAACAAGAATGCAAGATTCAGTGTGATGCTGGCAGCACTGACCCCTTTTGAGACTGGCTATGACTTTCCAGGCTGTAGGCACCATGCAGGTAGTTGACGCCGATTTCATTTACCTCACTGTTCATTCTCTGCATGTTCCAGTGTGGACTGTAATTCCAGGAGCTGAGCTTCCTGAGGCACCGTTGGTATAACATGGCTGGTTGTGAGGTGGAGACCAGAGATGCCAGTTGGCCACACACAGAGAACATTCATACACACTATACCACAGGATCTATTAATTCCTCTCCAGCCCAGCTGTGTGTTGCTGATTGCTGTGGGTGTCACATAGGTGACCTGGGGAGAATGCGTTGTTTAGGACAAGCACATCTGCTGGAAACGTAGCCGAGAGCTGCCCTGAGCGGGTGAGGCTGGTGGGTCTTGGCCAAGTTCACTGGGGAGTGCTGCTGCTCACAGGGCCTTTGGGGCACATGGCATCGGCACCACTGGCTGGATCCCTGAGGCCAGGCCTCCAGAGGCCCTCTCTGCTTCCCCCTTCCCCCACTCTCCCATATACTGGTTTGGAAAGAGGGGCCAAGAGAGAAAGTCCTGGAAGGCCCCCTCCTCACCCTCAGGACTGAGCACTGGGTTCTCTGGGCCTTCTCTGTCTCTGTGCATGAGGGATAAGCCTGCTTTCAGTGCTAGTGACTTTGGTGAAGCTGGAAGAATATTAAGATACCCATGAACTTAACATTTGTAGCTCAATCAACAAGGAATAAATTTCCAACAACAAGGAATAAATTTCCTTCACCTGATTCCAGGCCCAGTATCAGCACACAGTTGTCTGAATAATAGGAATGTTCTTCTTTAATCACTTCTCCCAGGTCTGCGCCGTTTACAGGAAGCCTGCCTGACACCAGCTTCTCTGTGGGTGCCCTTCCTGCCAGCGGGCAGAGCTGTGATGCTGAAAACATGCTCAGGGCAGAGCCAGTGACCTTGCACCTGCCAGGGGCACTGCCTCCTGTGTCTGTGTTTCTGTGGCCCTTGAAGGGGGTGGGCGGGTGTGCAGTTTGAGGTCCTGCGTGAGGTGTGGTCCTCTCTGCCGAACCATCTGAGGGGTGAAGGAGGCCCCAGGAAAAGCTTGTCATGCAGGCATGGGGTGAGGCCAGGGCACCCACAGAGCATCAAATGCTGAGGAAACCAGCTTTTCTGAGTCTGTAATAGCAGACATTTCAGCTTTTTCAGGACTCCAGGAAGAAGCAAAAGCAGAGAAGCCAGATGAGCCTATAATTACCCTGTAGAGAAGATGGAACAGAAATGTGGTCCAGGGTTATGTGAGCCCACAGCAACTGCACCTGCACAGTAGCCCTGCTAGTGACAGGAGCCGCCAAGTGCCTGTGAGGACAGTGCTGGGAGAGTGTAAAAACATGCACGCTGGTCAGCGGCTGCAGCAGTGGGGAGGGTGGTGGTGTGTGTGGATGTCACATGCCCTCAGCTGTTAGCTTATTCAGGCTGGTGGCAGGGTCCAGTGAGGCAGGTCTAGGGAAGTGGGTGGCCTTGCAGCAGAGAGCTGATGTTGAATATTGCCAATCTGGTGCAGTGGGGTAGGTTCAGGGAGAAGACACAGAATGGGTGATTTTTAAAAGGCACCCACTCGCCAGTCTACTGGACATTATTGAGGGGCCAGCCCCTGCCAACCTCAGAGGCACCTGCAGGGCCACATTGGGATCAGTCCCTTGGGTGTCAGACATGTGTACCTCATCCCGGCAATGCGGAGGTCTCCTCCTGACCGTGGCCTCTGAAGCCAGAGACTTGGGCTCCAGTCTGCCTGGACATGACCAGCACTGAGTTCATGGGCAAGTCAGTAGGCCTCTCTGTCTCAGTTTCTTCATCTGTAAAATGAGTCTCTGCTAATAGTGAGGCCTGACTGAGGGGCTGAGTGCTGCGCTGGTGCAAAGCAAATGCTCAGTAGCCCAGCGCTCTTAGTGACGTGTTGGCTGCTGCTGCTGCTGTTACTAGGAAGATAGGAGTTGGCTGTAGGAAAGGACTAAATAGGCTTTTTCATGAAACAAATGCCTGAAATCCTGGCCTCCAGGTGCCAGGCAGTCTAACTCATCTGCCAAGTTGCATAGTGTTCCTCGGACTTGGGGATCTGAAGCAAAACACGGTGACCCTAGTTGGCAACTGCCCTGCCCAGGGGGTGAGTTGGCCAGGTGATGGGAGGCCCCTGGCAGAGCCTGGCGGGCCTGGACCCAGTGTGGTCATCCCTGATGGACAGTGACCCTGGCCACTGTGACCTCATCACTAGCGTCTGGGAGGATGATCTCACCAGCCCTCTTGGCAGCGCCTTGTCTCCTGTGGCTCAAACCCTAACAGATGTTCTCGGGGCTGAAACTGGAGCCGGCCCTGCTTGTGCTGCTCTCAGTGATGAGTGGAGAAATGGATCCCTTTCTCAGACGCACATTCCTTGTGTATTAGAAAACTGTCACCGCGGCTTCCCACAGTGACATTCATTCAAGGCTGAACGTACAGGGTCCTTTTAAACTTTGCCCAGATGTCTTACTTTACATGGTTATCTCTTATTTCCATAGCATTTCTCAGTACTTTCAGATTTTCTCCTAAAGGTTTGCTGTAATAGCCATCCTCTAATTTGTGTCCAAAATGCCATGCCAAATTAAATGATTAGCAGGAACAAAAGGAACAAGAAACTAAGACGTTTGGCAGGGGTGGGAGGCGGGTGCAAGTGGAGAGGCTGGGCGGCCCTTTCTGAAGGAGGGAGGAGGCCGGGGAGAGTCGCTGTGAGTTGGGAGCCTGGCGTAGAGGGAGTGTGCAATGTAGCAAAGTTCGCCCAGAGTTTTCTCTCAAGGGTCTCCCTCATCTCTTCAAGTAGGTGTTCCTCAGGAACTGGGTTTCTGATTCAGCAGGTCTCAGGCAGGCTGGTGTTACTGGTGGCACTGTGTTTGGAGAACCCCTGCATAGAATGAATGGATACAGTTCAAATTCCTGGCACCACCCCAGCTATATTATCCCTGTCCGTCTGTGGCCTCCCAGAGCCTCCAGGGCCAAGGTCCAAGTTCTCTCCCAGTCTCCAGCACCTTGCATTACCTGTTGACCCCTTCTTACAGGCTGCTGTGCTGCCTGCAAAGCCCACTTCCAACTTTCCAGGGGAGGCCACTGCTCTGCTCTGTTGTTTTTGTGTCTGTTTCAGAATTTAGGCAAGTGTCCCTTCTTTAGAAAGGTCACAGCCTACATATGGTCCTCCCCAGTCATGTTGCCAGGGCACTGAACTCCCCCCCTTGCCACAGCTTCATTATGGTTATGACTAAGTAAATTGTGTAGCTGTCTCCTGCTTGCTGAGAAACTCTTGCAGCCAGGACCTGCCAGCCTCCTGCATTGCTGTGAGTTCAGCTTCCTACATAGTGCCAGCACATAGTAGGAACATAGCAAATAGCAGGTGAAAGAATGAATTTCTCTCATTTCTTTGAGTGAAATGATGAATGGCTCATAATTCACATGTGAAGCACTTGACATCATTCTTGGCAGAGGCATAAGCTCGGTACAGTTTCCTGCACCCTGTGCCCCAACCCTCATTTGTTCCCATGATCCAGCCTCTCACCCAGAGCAACAGGTCCTTTATCCCCCCTCCGCTCTGTTGTCCTGTCCCGGGTACTGTCCTTCATGCTGGCTTCACATGCACGTGCTCGTTCTTAGCTCTGTGAGGAAGCCCTGTGAACGCCCCCTTTGCAGGTGGGAACAAGGCCCTGGTGGTCAGACCGCCGCACCTCAGCAGTGTACCAGTGACACATGGGGCCCCTGCAGGGGCTGCATGTTGAGGACGAGTCAGCACTGTCTCCGTAGGCATGTGGGAGGGGAGGTGGGAGCACTCACTCAGTTCTGGACCCAGGGACTGTGCAGACGTTGTCCACCCAGCAGGCTGCCAGAAAGCACTGTTTCTGCTTCTCTCATTTCTTTGAGTGAAATGATCAGCTGGATCTTTTCTTGTCTCGCTGGTTTTTGGCAAGTCTGTCGTGTGCCAGGTGTGGTCATGGTGGTGAGGAGAGGCTCATATCACCTCTGGGTCTGGAGAGTTGGCCAGAGGAATGTGGGGACAGCAGGAAGGGTCTTTGGGCCTCCCAGGGCAGGGAACGCCCTGTAGAGGGCAGATGCTGGGCGTTCGTGTGGCCGTTCTGTCAGGGGAGGCCACCACTGGGCAGGAAGGCCTCACGACGATGCACCCCCCAGGGACAGGCTCAGGGTCTGCTGCTGTGTGTCGTGGTGCAACACTATGGTACACGGACCAGGGGCTCAATTTCTACTTCTCTTAGCTGTAGTTTTCTCATTGCTAAAAATTGGGAAAAAAATAGTCATCTCATGGAAACATTGTGAAAATTTAGTGAGTTAATGTGTCTCATCCCCATCATCCTCACCACCAGTGTTATGAGGAGATAGCATTTACTGAGCCCTTAATAAAAGCCAAAAGTGTTCTACAGGTGTGATTGACTCATTTCCATTGGTATATCCATGTATCTTACATCCGAGGAAACCGAGGCATGAGGAAGTAACAGAATTTGCCGGAGAGGGGCACTGAACATGTAGCCTTTGACCCTGGTGGTCCCTGTTAAGGGAGTAGATGGCCCTGTGTTGTGTGTAGATAAGATGGACATGCAGATACTGTTGAAAGATAGAATAGAATTAAGTAGGAGCAGAGGCAACCAGCCCCGCACATAACTGTGTAGAAGCGGGAGGTGCCGGGCATGTGTGAATGAGCTGCAGACTTGCCTGAGTCACATCTTTGGGTCCCGGGAGGCCCCGAGCCAGTGGGTGAGTCCCGAGGTCAGGAGGCACCTCCCACGGCAGCCACCAGGAGTACAGCTGGTGGGAGCCATGCTTCTCCTCACCACCTTGCCTCAGCGCACTGTGCTGAGCCAGGCCAAGGGAGGGTGCTCCGGATGGTGTGGTTCAGGTGACACAAGAGGGGTTGGCATGCATGGAAACTGACGGAATGTGTGCCTGCTTTAGACTCTGTAGCGAGGCCCTTAATAGCACAGAGTTTGAACCAGCCTCTCTGGATTTGTATCCTGCCTCTGCCTGGCCTGGGCCCTCCATGAACCTC